AGATTTTATTTTCCTGGGCTCCAAGATCACTGCAGACGGAGACTGCAGCCAAGAAATTAAAAGACGCTTGCTCCTTGGGAGGAAAGCTATGACAAATCTAAACAGCATACTGAAAAGCAGAGACATCACCCTGCCAACAAAAGTGCGTATAGTCAAGGCCATGGTTTTCCCAGTTGCAATGTATGGCTGTGAAAGCTGGACCATAAGGAAGGCTGAGTGCCAAAGGATTGAGGCCTTTGAATTGTGGTGCTGGAGGAGACTCCTGCGAGTCCCTTGGACCGCAAGGCGATCCAACCGGTCAGTCCTAGAGGAGATCAACCCTGACTGCTCTTTAGAAGGCCATATCCTGAAGATGAAACTCAAATACTTTGGCCGCCTAATGAGAAGGAAGGACTCCCTGGAGAAGAGCCTAATGCTGGGAACAATAGATGGCAAAAGAAGAAGGGGACGGCAGAGGATGAGGCGGCTAGATGCAGTCACTGAAGCAGTTGGTATGAGCTTAAGTGGACTCTGGGGGATGGTGGAGAACAGGAAGGCCTGGAGGAAGGTTATCCATGGGGTCGCGATGGGTCGGACGCGACTAACAACAACAACAGATAGTTTGACCTACAGCATTGAGCAGCCCTGGCCAGCATATCCAGTGGTGATGGATAACAGAAGTTGTAAATGAAGCTATCTTGAGGGCCACAGTTTGCCTAATGTAAATTAAAAATGGCACTTAACAGACCACAAACATCTCTATATAAGCCTCTATATAGGCTTATCCTGCAAACAAACTTATCCCCTCCCTTAACTAACTAGGAATGCTGTTTTTAAAAAATTATTCAAACATGAGATCACAGATGTAATAGCATTCACAACTCCATGAAATGAAGATGTATTTGTTTTTTAAAATAGGATGTGTAGGCAATCTTTTCAGGTCCTCGGCTGTGTGTGCCATTTTTTTCTGGGCCTGCAGTTGCATTTCTCTTCCTCTTTGCTTGCAGCCCCTTCTGGATGGCCCCCTTCCTCTGCTGCTCACCCTGATTCTTCTGCTGCCATAGCAGCATTCTGCTTGTGCTTCTGGTTGCTGCTGTCTCCTTAGCCAGTTCTACCCAACCTGCCTGTGGTTTCTTCTGCATCCACACGTCATTTCTGTCACCCCACTGGCACTCTTGCTGCCCCGCCCCACCCCACCAGCCTGCCTGTCCACTTTTGTCTCCACCATCTCTTGGCTACTGCTGCTGCCCTGAACCACTCTGTCTGCAACCTGCCACTTGTGCTGCTCCCCTACCCAACGTGCCGGCTACCTCTTCTAGCACTGACCACCATACCGCTCCTTCTCCACCACTTTGGATTTCTGTTGCTGCCATGGAGCAGAGAAGTAGGCGGAAATGGTGGAGGAAGAGGTCTGGTAGGGGGAGGCAGTCATAATGTCTGAACATTTGTCTGAACTGTTCTTCAGTTTCTGTTCTCCTGCCCTTCTTCCCTTCCGAACCCATCCCGTGAACCCCAGTAATGGGGTTTTTCCCATCTTGAAACTGTTCCCCAACATCAAACTGGGCTGTATTTTGCAGATATGTCTGTTTTTTCCTCTCAAACGTAAAAGTCTTTTAGGACAGTCTTATGGAGGCTGTGCACGAGACAGTTGTTGTGATGTCTCTCCACCCCAAGAATTCTCCTTAGGGGAAGAGCTACAGCTCCTGGAAAATGAGACCATCCCAGAACAGCCAGTCACCAAATGGAAGCAGGCTGAAACACTTACCAGTTTCATTATGTTGCTTTTGGGAGAACTCCTCCACACAGAGTCTGCTTCAGCTGATGCAGGACAGTAACTTCTCCTCTTCCAAATAGGAATCAGTCAGTCTGGCATGCCACCTGAATGAACAGCATTGTGATAAAACTGTATGTGTCCTGGAGGCTGCCAAAACAGTTTCTTTTTGTTCTGTTATCTCCCAGAAGTTCTTCAATACCAGGAATGAGAATGGAGACTTGCTTAGTTGTGCAGGAGAGCTTTTTTTAACCTTCCATAAGGGACTAAACCAGCAGCTAATTGCAAGTGAAACTGCTTCCCAGGTGGAGCCAGCCTGTGTGCCTGCTAGTTTGATCTGTCAGGATGACTTTCCATGTGGAAGGGAGCTATTCCATTTGGACCCATAGTTCGGTGGCAGAACTCATACTTTGCATTCAGGATGTTTTAATTCCTAGAATTTTGTCAAAGGCTCGGGTAGCAGCTGTTTAGAATTGCCTCTAAAATCTTGGAGAGCAGTAAGCAGTCAGAGGACCCGGCACTGGGTTAGGTATGCCCATTGTCTTGCATGGTATAAGAAATTTCCATTTATGTTAGTGGTTATTATCTGTTATCTCTCTGAATGAGAGAGTGACTGAACTGTTTCTACTCACATTTTGTTCTGTTCCAATGGAACCAGATTTGGTTCTGTTCATCAAGCAAATGCCCAGAGTTTACTATGAGTCTTTTGCAGTTTGGTTCCATAGCACATTCAGTGTGGATGTAATTTAACCTTGAAATTCAAAGTCTTCCTCTAGTGTGACTAGGAAGAAATATGAGGAACTGCAGATATAATTTGTAGGGTCTGATCCAGTACTGTGCTGTGCCTTGAACTGGATGTGGATGTTTAGGGAAATTTTGTTCCTCTGTCTGTTGGAGATTTCCAGCTAACAGAGTGATGGAACCAGAATACATCTTGGTCATGATCTATACATTTTAGCTACACTAGAAGCAGCATTCACACTGCCTAAGGACAAAAAAGCCTGCTTTTGGAGGCAAGACTTGTTCTTACTGCTGAAAGAGGGGAGGGAGCTCTTTTGCAATGCAGAAGATTTCACAAAAGATAGTTTCATCTGCTTAGTTTTTGTATCATTGCATTAACTACGAAACGTCTTTAGACTTTTCAGTTTGTCATATTCAGTCAGTCGGTCATTCAAATTAATTTAAAGCTTTTATTGACCATCCATCTACTGGCAACTCGGGATGGTTTACAACAAGTAAAATAGGAAATAAAATAAAATGGCACAGCATCCAATAATACAACAATGTACAACCACATTAAAACCAATTACACATTAAAATAATGGGAAAATAAAAAGGGTTTCGCCTGGCACGGAAAAGAAAAAAGCATTGGCGCCAGGCAAACCTCTCTGGGGAGTGTATTCCATAATTGGGGCACCACCACAGAGACTTTCCTCCGAGTAACCACCCTCCTGATCTGTTTCAAGGAGGGCTCCTGAAGAAGGACCTCCGCCTCAGATCTCAAGGGGTGAAAGGACATACAGGGAGGGAGGTGCTCCTTCAGGTGTCTAGGACCCAACCCATATAACATGCAAACAGAATAATTGTAATGCAAAGACAAGCAACATCCATATGAAAATGCTTGGCCTTTTAAAACAAGTAACCCAGTATCTGATACAAATACAAACACATTTAATCAAGTTTCATGTTTCTGCTTTTTTTGTGTTCTTCTAGGTACCACATGAGACGCAAGAAAACCGGCCCCAAGGATAGGTGAACATGACATTTACACATCATATTTACTGTCATAGAAAATAATCTCTCCACAGATGGTGCTCTTTAAACATATGTATGCATATTACAGTTTCATTAAACTACTTTCCTTCCTTATGCTGTTTGATTTACTGTGTCTAATTCTGAACACAAAAACCAGAATAAATAAGCAACTGACCTGTCAGGATCCCTATTTTAGAAAATAACACAAGTCCTACACCAAAAATAAGTCAGTCATGTTCAAACTGGACTCAGGGTTCAAGGTATCTTGATAATGAAACTTGTGCTCCGGAGAGCTAGAGGTCAAGAAGGAAATGCATAGCAAACAGAACTGGATGCCTCAGACTTCTAGGAGACTGACATTACGTAAGTGAAACATGAGGACTTGGAAGATTAATGTGCGAAAGCGTTCAGTGACTGCTGCTGGTCAAGTTTGCAAGTAATGTCTGTGCCTGGAGGTTTCATGAAGTATTTGCTTTTAGAAGAAAGCAGTCTAATAAAGCTATGCTTCCAGGAATAATGTAATCATCGATGTTATTGATTAGCTCAGTTTCCCAGAGCTCAAAGATCTGGTTTGTAGAAAAGCCATTTTGGAATTAAGCTGTAGAATCACAATCCTGTTGTTTTAACTTGGCAAATGATGGGGTATCATGCTGTGTCAGGTATATTTTATAGAATGGTGTTCTGTGTGTACATTACTAAGATATATTGTCTTCTGATGAATGACGTTGTGAATTAATTCATGAGTTCATCTGTATTGATTTAAAATACAGCCCATCTGTATTTTATTATTTATGGTGTTAATGTCTTGAATAAAGAGACACAGGATGCAAGTTATTTTTACAATTTAAGTTCTGCTATGCAAGTATATAGGTTTTGAGATTTGGAAGTCTCAAAAATGCTGCAACAAATAGTTGTCAATTCTATAACAGCAATGGAGAAGATGCATCTATCTATTGATGCTAAAATTTGGCATTGCTCTTCTAACCACTTGTTAGGCAGTTTTGGAGACTGTCCAAGTTTCTCCTCCTTATCTGAACCACCAGAGGGCACTGCTGTACAAGAATACAGCCTCCCGTGCTTCTATGTCAAACTATAACTGCTAAGATCAAATGTCATACACTAACATTTTCAAATGCAGGCCAGATGGTTAATTGTCAGTGTTAATTTATGTATGAGCAGGGAAAGAATTAATTTAAAATGGTTGATATCAGAAGTCTTTTAGAACAACAGTTTAATTATGAATATTGAGCATATATTGTTCTCTGAAAGGAAGGGAAGAAATCAAGAATTACAGGTGCATTTTACTATTCATTTACAGAAATTCCCCCCTAAGCACACACTTTTCAGTTCACTAACTTCCAAAACTATCTTTTTAAAACAGGAATGATATCATTAAAAAATCAGTCTGCAAGCATCTTGAAGGAAATGCAGTGATTAATAGAAGCCAACATGGCTTTATCAAAAGTAAATCCTGTCAGACATTTAATCTCATTTTTTGACTGGGTAACCTCCCAAATGGACAGAGGGAACACTGTGGACGAAATCTACCTAGACTTTAGCAAAGCTTTTGACATAGTGCCACATAACATTCTAATAAGCAAAGTAGCAAAAAGTGGGCAAGATAGACCATTAGGTAGGTCCAAAATTGGCTGCTGAATTAGACACACAGAGTGCTCATCAATGGCTTCTCATTGGATGGAGGTAATGTGGGGGGTGCCACAGAGTTCAGTCCTGGACCCAGTGTTCTTCAAAATTTTTATTAATGATTTGGATGAGGAAGTACAAGGAAAGATAATCAGATTTGCAAATGATACAAAACTGGGTGAAATAGCAAACACCCTAGAAGGCAGAATGAAGATCCAGGGAGATCTTGATAACGTGAAAACTGAGCTGAAAGCAACAGAATGAGATTCAATAAGGACAAGTGCCAAGTCCTCAACCTAGGAAAAAGAAACCAAATGTATTGATACAAGATGGGGAATACATGGCTCAACAGAACTGAAAAAGATTTTGGAGTAATGGTGGACAGTAGGCTAAATACGAGCCGCCAAAAGGGCAAATGCTATTTGGGGATGCATTATTAGAAGTCTTACTTGCAAATCACAAGTAGTAGTAGTTCCTTGATATTTCTCACTAGTCAGACCTCATCTGGAATACAATGTTCAGTTAGGCAATTGATCTGGAAGGCTTTAAAGGGAACTGGATCAATGCATGGAAGATTTCATGGCTGCTAGTCTTGATTGCTGTATGCTATCATCCAACAGCAAGGCAGTATGCTTATGGCTTAGATTCCTGTTGGACAGTTGGTGGCATGCAAATGTAAGAAATACAAAATAAATATAGGTGGGATGGTATGGCTGCACTCAGGCCCTGCTTGTGGGATCCTGTGGGCAGCTAACTGGCCACTGTATGGACAGATTGCTGGATTAGATGGGCCCTTGGCCTGATTCAACTGGCTCAATAAACAAGTAATCCTGTTAGTAGTTCAAGTAATGCAATAGTTCAAAAATGTAATTTTTAAAAGTTGGCAGCAGGAAAGCATTCCTGGAATGCAAGCTTTATCAACAGGGCCAAGGCCCTAGCATGAGGATTTGGAACAGTAGCTTACTGGGTTCTGTAAGTGACTGCTGTGGACTGCAACCAACTGCTGTAAAAAGCCATAGAAGCTAAATTGTAGATTTGTAATCTAATTATGCTGAGGAATGGTTTTGTGGATTTTTTTTAGAGGCATTAGATGGAATGTTCAGATTTTGTAAAATTTGCTTCACTCAGTCAGATGTAGCATTTGGATGAAGCAAACTTCTTCCTGAGCTGTTAAGCTGTTGCCCAAGGCCTTCTTCTAGAATAGAAGGCAAGTTCTTATTTGGGAAACTCTAGGACTGCATATGTGCATACAAGGCATTTTTCTAGTGTGGCATGATCTCAAGAACTGCAAGGCTCAGAATTCCTGTTGGCACATGCTCTATAGACATCAGGGGGAAAAAGCCAAGTGCCAGACACAAGCAGTATATAGCAAAGCCTTGCCATCTAGCCCAGTAAGCTTTCTTCTGACCCTGACCTCAACCCTTCCAGGATTGGGAAGGGTTGATCCTCCATGCATGTTGCAATCCCATCCTCAACACAGCATTTAGTCCCCCCCCCCCAACTAAACCCAATTGCCTTGTAATGGTTCTTATTGGGCTTGCAGGGTGCTGTCCTATCCTAACACCAACAGGACAACATCTAAAGCACATTCACCACCTGTCTAATACATTAGATGCTATCAGAAACTTATAACCTAAATCAAACAGTCAGAAATTTAAGGAGATTTGAAAAAGAACAAACCAAAGCTGAAGGACATTAGCATGTTGTACAGGTGCAACAAAGTAGCTACTAGTCTATATTTTCAAAGCATGGAACAAGCAGAAGTTGGTCTATCCAATGAGTTGGATCTTGAGTTCACTTTCACAAACAAGAGACTCTCTCTCATCTGAAGGAAGGATGCTAGACGAGAAGAGGAAAGCATTTTCACTAGTTTCCTTCTCCACCACTTCCCTCATTGTTCTGAGAGGTCCCTCAACACACTGAAACAGAATTTTCAGGGCTACAAGGAGTAAGGAAGATTGGCAAAAATAGAATGGAATACAACTGAGGGGAGGCTCCTGGCAACAGAGTGTTAGTTAAGATCTAAGCCATTGTTATGGCACTAGCAATGCAAATATAAATCTGCTTTTGGAAGAGTATGAGGTAGGTATGTAAAGGTTTTTTTGCTACCAGAAACAGAATAGCTCCTTATGGAAAACATGGAAGGAAACCAAGGGATGCTTGGAAATGTATCTAATTGGTACAAAGTCCCAGTGATGTGTTCCAAGTCATTTACTCGCAGTCTCGAGTCCAGTCTACTTTCAAGTCCAAGTTGAGTCTCCAGTCAAGTCTCAAGAGCCAACTTCAACAGAAAAAAGGAGGTTGGGGGGGAGAATTGTAACCCCACCCTGATGTTCCCATCAGCATTTCTCTCAGTGATACACTGAAGTTCTTCAACCACGATTTATTTCAACAAAGTTGTGCTATTATTCAACTTTATCAAGACTGCAATTTAGAAAAATGATTTTCTTGACACGATTGGCCCCCAGCCTAGCGCTGTTATTCTCCCTGGAAATGCACTGGAACAGAGCAGAGGCAGCAGAAGCACTGTTCTGCTTCCTGCCAAGCAGAACGAAGTGCACCAAAAAAAGCTGAAGCCTTCCACCTATACAGGTAGCCATCGGATAGCCATCGGATTATGCACAAGTTCCATTCCTGAGAACATCCTTAAGTCAAATTTATAAGTCGTATCACATGAGTAAGCCACATGTTTGTCTTAGTATATGTGTATATTTTAGCTTTCTATGCATATAAAATACTCAAACATATCCATATTCAGTAAAACATCTTAAGCAATACAGCATTGTAATAAATGATAATCGTAAATTAATTACAGGTACTGGAAAGAGAATCTGTATGTGTAGGTATACAGTATTGTAAAAAATAAAATAGTCCTTAAAACAGTTTAGCACAATCTTTCAAATCAGTGTCTTATAAAGTTAAACTATCATTCTTGCACAGAGTATATAAGATCATGAAGCATTTTGATCACTTTAAAGTTCTTTGTTTTGTTCATTTTCTGAATATATTTAAGTTGTTCTGCTAATTTACAATAAACCATAATAATGCCACAGTTCCTAACAAACCAAACCTAAAACAAAACAGAGAAAATAAGCAGAACTTTCTTTCTTTTTATACAATTGGGTAACATTTGCAGGCCTGTTGGCCACTTCGGAGGGAAGCAAGCCTGCCAAATTCTACTCAGATTGGCTCTTGTTCTCGCTCTGCTGTCAATTCGGCATCCTTTCCCCATCTGTAGTAGGGGAATGCTAATACTGATCTTATTCCCATTTAGCAATTGCCCTTGTAACCAGGACCTCGGGTGCTACAAGGCCATTTATGAGTAGAAAAAGAAAATGGCTGTACAAACAACCTGTTTGAGACCTGTTTCAGGAAAGCAACTCCAGTGTGAATCTGTCCCTGCTCCTCCACAGCACAGTCAAATCCTGACTCTCCAGCACAAGGTCCATCTCCATCATCCTTAGTTAATG